GTGTTTTTGTTGTTGAATTTTTTAGATATCAGGGATCAAATCTGAAGTCGTGTATGTTTTAAATTCATGGCAGGAGATGAGCAAACATTCATGTTTCAATTCAAACACTGAATGAATAAATGTGTTCTGGCCACTGGAATGTCTAATCAAATTTGCTTTGCTCAGGGCAGCTGTCAACCTTCTTTGCCCACACATGTGTGATTTTATTATGAATCACAAATATAAAACACTTTTTCTTCAAAGAACAATTAGAATGGATTTGTTTTTACACAGAATTCCCCTTGCGAGTTTGCTGATAATGTTATACTCTAGCAGTCAGGTGAGATTACTCAGATATTCCATATCACAAAAGTAATTAGCATAAAGATCAAGCAAGAGGGTATCTGAATCATTTCATTTTGAAGCCACACGTACCGGGAGCTGTTTGGGTTTCAAAATAAATCTAATATTGTAAACAATCTAATCTTTAGTATTAGATTATTACCTTTAGCTAATAGTTTTTTGCTGGTACTTGATTTAAATGAAAATTGAATCTTCATGATTTGCATGGTAGGAGAAGCTCAAATCCATGAAATAAGTGCTCATTGTAAATCATGTGTTTGTCAATGGCTTTGTCTCACATTCATGTCTTAGCTCTTCAAGGAAAACTTCCCCTTCTAAAACAGCCCCGCCCCTCTCTCTCAGTCACACTCTACCACATCCTCCTGCTGTATGTATAGCACTGTTCACTACTTGGAACTCTCTTGTTCGTTTGTTTGCTGGTTTATGTGTATGTCCCTCAACAACAGCACCCCACACACACTATAATATAAGCTCCATGAGGGAAGGAACCTTGTGTTTTGTGTCTACAGCAAAAACCCCAATGCCCAACACATAATGACTACTTAATAAATGGCTATTGAGTGAATGAATGAAAGTAGAAAAAGTTCATAGTACATTAAGCATTATTGTTTAGACCTAACAGTCTATGTTTTAGCATAATCCAGTAATAATAAGGGAGATTTAAAGAATGCAAATCATGTGTAGTTTAAAATGTAAATTGTTTCCTAGGGTAATGTACCAGGCATGAGGATTATCTTTAAAGCCTCCTTGGTTTTTCAAAATTACATAAGAGCTAAGCACTTAGAGGTCCCTCAGTGACCTAAAGAGGAATAATTCACCTCCCTGGGAGAGGTTTCAATGCTAAGGAGAAAAACCTCGTCATTTAGTGGAAGCTGAAATCTTCCCTTCAGAGTATCCTTTTCCCAGGCACTTGGGGCTGGGTAAACATTTATTTTGACCCACTTGTTAGTTGTTTGTTAACTTTTTTGAGAGAGAGAGAGAGAGATATATATACACACACACACACATATATATAAACACACACACACATATCAAAATATATATTTTATATATATAATCTTTCCAATTGCCTTCCTGTTGATTTTCATATCATCTTTAAATTTGATTAATATCATTTCTTCAGACAAAGAAAGTAAAACCCAAAGAAGACAGCAACAACATGAAGAGTAACTTTGGCAATATGCAGTCTCAGGGCAGAGTGTCAAAGATTTAAAAACAAGACCAAGCAGGTATGGAGGTACACCAGTAGTCCCAGCTACTCTGGAGGCTAAGGCATGAGGAGGATAAATTGAGTCCAAGAGTTTGAGTCCAGCCTGGGCAACATATCAAGACACTCATCTGAAAGGAAGAATGAAAAATTGAAAGAAAGAAAGACAGAGAGAAGGGGAGGAAGAAAGAGAGAGAAAGAGGAGATAGAGAAAAGAAAGAAGAGAGAAAGAGACAGAGACAAAAGAAAAGCAACATCAATAAGAATAAACAGGTAATTGGCAGCTTGTTGCCACCTGCTGCTCATTCTCCCATAGCTCCATCCATAGGAGCACCTGCCTAGCTAAAAGACTACATTTCTAAGGACTTCTTTGCAATTAGGAATGGCCAGTGTAACTAAATTCTGGCCAATGAAATTCATTTGACATCCAGGAAGGCATTTGAAGGAAAATGACTCAACTAGGGCATGTGCCATTTTGCCATTATTCCAGTGAATATATGAATAATAAGAAAGCAAAACAGCCTTATTGCTGACATTAAGAAAGTTGCAGTGCTCTGATCTAACCAGCCCCAACATTCTCTTAACCCAAAGCCTAATCCAGAGCAAAGCCTTAACTCTT